CTTCATCCTGGCCATCCGGCTTCATTCTGTGCACCTCAGTCGCCCCCCTGTGTGGGGACGAGATGACCACACCTTCAGCCTCTCTCTCACCTCCAGCCTCCCTCTGTGTGGGCGGCTTCCCTGCCTGGAACAGGGCACTGGATCTGGCCCTGCCGTCTCTGCCAGAGGCAGTGGTGTCATCTCCAGGGTCCCAGGCCAGAGCTGCCATCCTGCTCAGCACCCAAGCTTGTTTTCACCAGGCCGCGTGACGTGGTGCCTCAGTTTCCCCCTGTGTAAAATGGAGGAGCTATGTGCACCGGAGGGGGTGGTCTGTACTGCCGTTCCAGCGTCTGCCCAGGCAGTTCCCAGCCTGTCTCACCCACAATCCTCTTGCAAGTGTCTGGTGTGGGTGTCAAGGTCAGAGCCTACAGCCTATCTATTTTCCCTGAGGACTGTGTGACTTGGGGCAAGTCACCTGTCCTCTCTGAACTTGTAAAAGGTTACATGGGCCCTGCACCAGGGTCGGCCGTGTGTGGGCAGCTAGAGTGGTTTCTAGTGGTTTCTACAGCAGGTAGAGCTAACCTCCCCAAAGACCTCTCCCCGAGACCAGCCCCAGCCTGGGAGACAGGGAGGCGGGCAGCTGGGGAAGCTGAGGCCCAGAGACAGGCAGTGGCATGCGCGAGGTCACACAGCGCAGCCCCACGTCCTCCCTCCCCTGGCCTGCAGGGACTCGCCGGAGCCCAGATCGGCCTCCCGGGGGTCGGCTCCCAGCCGGGATGAAAGGGAGCCCGGCGTAGCACCTCCTCTAGGCCCGCCCGCCCCTTCCGCAACCGGATCCCGCGGCGGCCGCTTTGATGTCCCGGCCCTCGCTGGGGAGGGCGGCCCGGGGGACTGCCAGGGCCGACTTGAAAGGGTGAGCCGCGCAGCCCCGGCTTCCCAGGACCGCCGGGTTGGGAGAGGCGGGGGCAGGACGAGGGTGGGAGACAGAGATCGCCCCCCACTGCAGTCCTCCCAGGAGCCCAAGGGCGCCCCAGGACCCTGAAACCAGTGGCCGCGGCACTCAAGGCCTTGCATGGACGCTCTGCTTCAGACATCTGAGCACGCCAGACAGGGAGGCTGGGGTTGGCATGCAAGCCCATCCGGGGCCTTAGCATGTGCTGGTCCCTCCGCCGAAACTCCCTTCCCGTCCTTCTCTGGGGCTGCAGACTCAGCTCTCCTGACAGGCAACCTGTTTGTGGGCCTGGCTGAATCTCCCCCCAACCCCTTCCCTCCCCACCACACACATCCCTCTATTTGTGAGCCTTGCTGAATCTTTCTCTCTCTGTCTCACACACGTACAACACACACACACACACACACACACACACACACACACACACACACACACCTCTCTATTTGTGGGCCTTGCTGAATCTCTCTCTCTCTCTCTGTCTCTCTCTCTGTTTCTCTCTCTCTCTGACACACACACACACACACACACACACACACACACACACAGCCTGCCCAGGCTGGACTAAAAGGTCCCCAGGCAGCAGCACAGTGGTGGCGCACGCCTTTAATCCCAGCACTCGGGAGGCAGAGGCAGGTGGAACTCTGTGAGTTCGAGGCCAGCCTGGGCTACCAAGTGAGTTCCAGGAAAGGCTCCAAAGCTACAACAGAGAAACCCTGTCTCGAAAAGAACAAAAACAAACCAAACAAAAAAAGGTCCCCAGGCTGTGGATTTGCGGGATCTCAGATCCTGGGTCACTGCTGGGTGCCCTGTAGGCCCAGCCTCCTGTGCTGGGGTCCCACCTAGATCTGGGGGCCCCACCTAGATCTGGGGTTCCCACCTAGATGTCATTCCATTCTACCCAGGCCTCCTGAAAGTCAAGCATCCATCCATCCGTGTGTCATGACATGTGGTGTGGGGGCTTCAGCGGATTAACCCAGGGCAGCCTGGGGTCTCGTCCCTCCAGGAGCCACTGCTCTGGTGTGCTGGGACTCCACACGGGTTGGCTGTCTGTGAATGCCCAAGGCTCAGTGAGGAATCAGGAGCAAACAAGGCCCTCACCGTCCCTGGGCCGGCGGCGGCTTTCTCCCCGACACTGGTCAGCCTCAGGACCATCCTTCAGTGTTCCATGGTAATGCTCCCCCCTTTGCAGACGGGCCCTGGGCTCGCTCTCTCTTCAGTCCTTTCCTTCTTGACTGGTCCTCGCTCTCCCCAGCTAGACCAGGGCCTTCTGGAAAGACAGAGGCTATGAGGAGCTCGAATATAAAATGTGCGTGCACCTGCCTCCCCCTTCCTCCTTTTCCTTGGTAGAACCCGGGATCTTGCACACGTAGGGAGTGCTGTACCACCGAGCTGCATCCCCCACTTCCTACTTCTGTTGTTGTTGTTGTTGTTTGTATCTTTTTCCTTTTGTGTTGCTTTGTGGCAGGGTCTCAAATTGTTGAGGGTTTCAGGCCGGCTACAGAGTGAGACATGGACTCAAAACCATCCAAAGGAAACCTATGGCTTTTAACCTCACAGCACACAGTGGCTGCTCCTGCCCCAGTCTCCACGCTCCTGTTCTGTCAACGGGAAGGAGAAAATGGCGGGGGGGGGGGGGGGGGGGGGGGGGAGGGGGAGGAGGATGGGGGAGGGGAATAGGAGTTGCTCTGCCCTCAGCTATTAAAGAAAACTTCTAGAAAGTGGGACCAGACTACTTCTGCTGACATCCCATTGGCCAGCACTTGGTCACATGGCCAAGGAAATGGGAAATGTAGTCTCTAAACTGCACAGCAAGCCACCCAGCAAACATTGGGGATTGCTCTTCTTCTGGAGGAGAACAGAGACCCAGAGACCCAGAGGCCTCAGCTCCACCCTCCTGACTCACAGCACTAAGAACAGCTCACAGCTACACAGCCCAGTGTAGTCACGGCCTTGCTGAGGATGGACTCAACTTTGGCCGCCTGAGCCAGCCCTCCCCACCCAGCCCTC